AGCGCTCGCTGGCCGCCGCGCTCATTGCTTGCTCACGCGCATGTCATGGATGCACCGCCAAGAGCCCGGAAGGCGCCTCTCACTTGCTCCTGCAGGGCTATCTACAATTGCCCGAACAAATATTGCAGTGCGTTCTGCACGTTAAGCACGTCGAACGACAGGACAAGGCGCGCTGACTCGACACTCACCCGATTGATGGTTCGCGTCGACTCGACGATCATGAGGCCAACGCGCGTCAACTCTCGACGCTCATCAACATAGCACGCGCCGACTCGACGATCATCGAGATAGGACGCGCCGGCACGACGCTCATCAGTTTGGTCCGCGTCGGCTCGACGCTTATCGCCATGGACCGCGTCGACTCGACGCCCATCGGCGCTGTGCGCTCATCGACATGGCAAACGCAGACGAGAGGCTCATCAGTTTGGTCCGCGTACTCGACGCTTGTCGTCATTCACCGCATCGTCTCGACGCCCATCGACGTTGCACGCGCCGCCCCGACGCTCATCGCCATGGCATGCGCCGACGCGACGCTCGTCATCTTGGTCCGCGACGCCTCAACGCTCACTGTCGCGGATCCCGTCGACTCGACGCTGATCGGCGCGCAGTCCAGAAGGCGATCGCGACGAATGCCTCTGCTCCGCGCCCTGGCTCGGTCGGGCCGGCATGGCAGCCCTGTTTTGTTCTGGCGCGCCACCGCGGGGGGGGGCCGCGTCGTCGGCAGACGGGGCAAGAAGCCCCCCGCTGACCTGGCCGTTCCGCGTTCATCCTGAACACGGCAGGCCTTCCCATAGCGCTGGGTTTACCCAGCACGTCGCCCGTCGCGCCAGGCTGCCTCGGCGCCTCGGCCCTGCCGCGCGAGGCACTGGCGGGCGTTGGCACATCCACACTCTATGATATAGGAATGGAATGGCACTTGCATACCCCGCCACGCGATCCGCCCCAGCCGCGGCGGCGACATCTGACCGCTCGCGCGCCAAGGCGCGGCCGCCAGAGGCCCGCTCAACTTCCAACGAAGTGTCCGAGATCATGGCCTCGAGGTTCGCTGTCAGCAAGCGGGCGCAGTGTGACTGCACGCGCGGCCCCGCAGGTCCGCGGCAACTCGCCGCTACGGCTGCTAACCGATGGAACATATGATACTATGGGGGAAAACAAACCTACCCCGTTTTTGACCACCCTCGCTTCCAAGAGATACCAAACGATGCCAAATTGCAGCCTGTACTGGTCAGGCCGCTTGACGAGGAGGCGCGTGGCATGGTTTGGTTTTGCCTGGAAGCGAAAGCGGGGTAGGTAATTCACGCTCTGAGATACTGACCTCGCGGCCATGCCCCCAGGCCCCCCCCCAGGGGCCCCGGCTCACTTCCGAAGGCGACCACGCCCCCGAATATTCCGAGCGCGCGCCCGGCCGCGACTCGCGAGGGAGGGCGCGCGGAAGGGGCGGTCCAACCGCCGGCGCCCGCCCCTCTCAACGGCGGCCGCAGCGGCGACGACGACGACGGGACACGGCGCCGGGGCCCCTTCTTCAACACAGACACAGAGAATGCAGCGGAACCACCGCCCGCGCAGTCAGCAGCAGACCAAGACGGATCCACGCCCCCCCAAAACCCAAACGAAGAGGCCAAGGAGAAGCGGCGGCATCCAGCGGGGCGGACTCCTGAAATGCCCACGCCCACGTCAACGGAGGCGAGAGAGCAGGCGGCAGAGAAGCACGCTGCTGCACAGTGCAGAGAGGCCACACGCCCCCCCATAATCGGGGCCCGACGCGAAAAAAAACAGAGACACATGGGCAAAATACTGCTGAAAGACAACACAAACGACAGATAGGAGATCACAGACGCTGATTCCCCCAATGACCGAGGGGCTGGGAGACGCGGAAGAGCGAGGCAGAGAGGGGGGGGCCAAAGAGCCAGGACGCAGGGGCGGGAACAAAGCGGCAAGTGGACAAGCAGAAACTCGGCAGAGACAACTGCGAAACAACCACGGACAGGCGTTGACTCTAATTGCTCGGCCACGGCGTCAATACTCCTTTCACGCTGGTTCTGAATCTTGATGTCGTCGACTGCCTCTCTCCCACATGCGGTTCGCGACTGCTATGAAGCCGTCTCACCGATAGATCATTTCACCTCTACACACTCCTGTGTTCGATCACATCCTAACATGAAGGAAGCACGTGGCAGCGCGGTTGCGCGTCAGTGGCGACGCACCACTCGACGCCCGAATACCCAACACGGACAGAAAACAAAGCTCTGTAATCGGTCGCTTGGCTCTTTTGACGACAGTCGGATCGTTGCCCGCGGGCAAGCGATGCGACACGCCACGCACCTGAGAAGTCGCAGCGGCGTCGTACATGCGCAAGCTTGCGCAACACATCAGTCAACGAAAGCCTGGGGGGCGAGTCGGGATTCAACGCAGGAAGGATGACAGGGGGGCAGAGACGGGAACTCCAACGCCAGCATCGACCCTCGGCGCGCGAAAGACAACAGGCCCAGGACACCAAAAACCAGTGACGTCCGCGCGCGCCCAGTCACCCACTCAAGAAAGCACCCCAGGACACATTGCCCAAAAAGAATCTCAGGGAGCGGGAATAGGAAAAACACATGAAAAGACACCTCCGTGGATCGAATCACCGAGACGCCCGCGCGACCCCTAAATTACATATAAACTGGCAGCGCCTGATCCCACGCAACAGAGCGAATGCGTAAATCCATGACTTCGCGCGCTTCAAATCCCACCAGCCCTCTGGGCGCCGGCGGTCTAGGAAGTTTCCTCTCGGGGCGCCCCGCGAGGTGTCAGAGGGTATTTCTTCGTCCAAGATGGCTCCAAGAGGGCATCGGAGAGCCCGAGATGACCTCCACGATGGCTCTAGATAACCCAAGACGCCTCAAGTCAGCCCCGAGAACGCTCCAAGACGGCTCCACGGCGCCTCCGAGACTTCCAACAAGGTCTCCAAGAAGCCAAAATCCTGTCAAAACCGAAGAGACGTCAACGTGGTTTGCGTTCTCGCCTTTTCGCTTCCGATGACAATCCGGGGCCTCAGGATGGCTCCAGGACGGCCCGAGAGGTCTCGGGGGAGACCCAAGAATCCCCCAAGACGGCCCCAAGAGCGCCCGAGAGCGCCCCAAGAGCGCCCCAAGAGCGCCCCAAGAGCGCCCCAAGAGGCGACTTTCGGGGCCCCCACGGGGGGGGATGAGGGAACCCCCCTTCTTTGATCGATCTCCTCCAATATGGCCCCAGGAGCGCTCCGAAGGCTCCCGGGAGCGCCCCAAGATGGCCCCGAGAGGCGCCCAGACGGCCCCAAGAAGCGCCCAGGACGCCTCCAAGAGGCTCCCAAGAGACCCCCAAGAGGCTTCAAGAGGATCCCCGAGGCACCCAAGATGTCCCTCAGACGTTCCAAAAAGCCCCCACCAACCTCCCAACATCAACTCCCCCAGGCATATATCCTGAATGGGTTGGCGGGGACACGCGAAGCGTCAACTATCTACAAATCCCCACGCACACGCACGCACGCACGCACACACCCAAATGAAAACGCACACCTGCATGTCAAGCAACGGCAAACGGCGGCTTCATTGGGAGGGAAGGGACGTCAGCGACGCCCCACGAAAGCCGCCAAGATCGAGCAACATCTTCCACATTCAACCCGCACAAATGAGAGAGACGATATCCTGCGCATGCCACCCAGCCCCAGCATCAGCCTGGCCGCCCCGAGCTCCACTGGCATATGACTTCGCCCACAATCACCTGTCGCTTGCCTCCTACCCCGAGGGCCTCGAAGTGGCAGGCGAACGAGGAGACTCGTGGCACTTCCTGAAACGAGGGCTTGGCAACGCGAAGAGCTTCACTTCGCCAGCTGTCTCAGCATCCGCCGCAGCTATGAACCCTTTGCCGCCTGACGAGTCGACCACTTCGCGAAGACGGCTTAACCCTGACGGTAGCGGTGGTCAGGGAGGGGCGGCTTAGCCCTAACAGCAGCTCCGAAACTTACCCGACAGTCAACTGGTTGCCAGTCCCACCATCACGAAAGGACCTAAGACGCAACGCACGGGGGGCCCTAGGATTGGCGCAGTCGAATCCGTCAGGGAAATTATTCCTGCAGGTAACGATGGTGTCGGACGCTTTTTTGGGGAAAGGGGACGCCGAAATCACTTCCTTCGAAAAACTCTGATGGGCAACCTGTTCATCGCCTACTTTCACATGCTCGGAAGCGCAGGAGGAGAGAACACCGATACCTGCCTCTAATAGAGTCTCACGAGTGTACCCATCATTAAAACCAGCGAAGATGGCCTTCGACAGCAAATCCAGAGAGCCGGCACAATGGGGCATAGTTCGGGATGCCTTAGCCGAGCTGCCGTCACCATCACCCTCTCTGCTGTCGCAGAAAACGTTGTGGTTCGCATACGGACGGAATGGGGCCAACTCTTTCTCGGCATTGGCAATGTTCGCGTCCTGTTCGTCGAACCCAACATGCACAGCCTTGACATGAGAGCCCACCACAGAGACCTACGTAAACCGTGACCGAGGTTAGGGGGGCACTCCTCTTGGCTGCCTGAACCGCCAGCCCAGAAATCAACGCCTCCGTGCCTGGGCGAGCCATCGCGCCCCCGAGCAAATCGGGATCCAAAAAGGTCTGGGCGAGAAGGACAAGCAAAGCAAGAGCAGCTGCGCCCAGGTTTCGGGCAGCCCCCACAGCTCGAACAAGCTCGAAGCACCAGGGAGTCGAGCTTCAAAGGTGAACCAAAAATATTACGGATCGTGACGATGAGGAAGATGCGGATGATGATGATGATGCTGATGATGATGATGATGGTGATGATGATGATGACGATGACGATGACGATGACGATGACGATGATGATGATGATGATGATGATGATGATGATGATGATGATGATGATGATGATGATGATGATGATGATGATGATGGTGATGGTGATGATGATGATTATGATGATGACGATGATGACGATGACGACGATGCTGTCGTTGATGAGGACACGAGCCTGGCAGAGCCACGCCACCCGGGGCCAAGGTCGCGGGCGACAACGCCGGCGAGGCGGGCGCGTCGGTCTCGGCCACCGAGGTCACGGGAGGCTTCGGGCCCTTGGAACGCGCGCGTGCCCACGACGACGACAACGACAACGACGGCAACGACGAAGGCGACGGCGACGGCGACGGCGACGGCGACGGCGACAACGACGGCGACGGCGACGGCGACGAGAACAACAGAAACGACGACGACGACGGCGACGGCGAGGGCGAGGACGACGACGACGACGACGACGACGACGCGACGAGGACGAGGGCGAGGACGACAACAATGACGACGACGACGACAGCGACGACGACAACGACGACGACAACAACGACGACGAAAACGACGACGACGACGACCTGGACGACGACGACGACGACGACGACGACGACCACCACGACGACGACGGCGGCGGCGGCGGCGGCGGCGGCGGCGGCGGCGGTGGCGGACGACGACGGACGACGGCGGACGACGGCGGACGACGGCGAAACGTCGAAGAGAGGAGGGGGTGGTGGCGCCCTGTACGGCGCGAAGGGACGAGGATGCCATACGCCCCACGACGCGTCGGCGACGGCAGCGTGGTCCCGCCATCGCTTTTCTGAGGTTTTCCGCAGTTGTTCGATCGCTGTCGGCGAGAGCGGCGGGGCGCCCGCGGGCGGCATCTCTCGGGAGCAGCGCGCGGCGCGAATGGAGAGCGCAGCGCGAAGCTTTTCGGGGGCCCGTTTCGATGCGGCTCGTCGCGCTTCGACGTCGAGACTGGCCAGCCTTGCGACGCGTGGCGCCCCCCCTGCTCTCGCCGATGACGTGCGCCCCGCACGGCTCGTGGACTCCGATCGAGCCGCCGGGAGGCTCTGCTGATCGGAGGCGGTCGAGCGGGCAGGGCGACTGCTCGCGTGGTCTCCCTAGGGCACCCGATTCCACGATGAGAGGAGGGGCCCGGGGAGTGGGAGGAAAACAGAAAGCGAGCGAAAGGGATGAGGGAGGAGGAGAACGGAGGACGGAGGGCGAGGGGGAGGAGGCGAGGGTGAGGGTGAGGGGATTACGGGGAGAGGAGAAGCAGAGGGATGAAGGGGCACCTTGTCCTGATCATCATCACCGCCACCGCAATGGTCCTCCTCATCCTACTCCTCGTCGTCGTCGCCGTCGCCGTCGCCGTCGTCGTCGTGGTCATCGTCATCAACATCGTCGTCGTCGTCGTCGTCATCATCATCATCATCATCATCATCATCATCATCATCATCATCATCATCATCATCATCATCATCATCATCATCATCATCATCATCATCATCATAATCAGCATCATTAGCAGCAGCAGCAGCAGCATTGTCATCATCACCACCATCACCATCAGGAACAGAGTCATCCTCAACAGCATCATCATCACCACCATCCACCACCACCACCATCAGCATCATCACCACCACCACCACCACCACCTCCACCACCACCACCACCACCACCACCATCATCATCATCATCATCATCATCATCATCATCATCATCATCATCATCATCATCATCATCATCATCATCATCATCATCGTCACCCTCATCATCATCATCATCATCATCATCATCATCAGCAACATCAGCATCATCATCATCATCATCATCATCATCATCATCATCGCCAATATCATCCATCATCGTCATCATCCATCATCATCGTCGTTGTCAGCAGCAGCAGCATCACCAGCATCAGCATCAGCATCAGCATCCGCATCCGCATCCGCATCCGCATCATCATCATCATCATCATCATCATCATCATCATCATCATCATCATCATCATCATCATCATCATCATCATCATCATCATCATCATCATCATCATCATCATCATCATCATCATCATCACACCACCACCATCGTCATCATCCTCCTCCTCTTCGTCAGCTCCCAGAGCGCCTCAATCCTCATCCTCCACGACGACGACGACCAGGGCCACGACCACGACCACCGCCGCCGGCGGCGGCGGGGGGGCTCTCCGCGCGGACCCCGCCGCGCCTGGCTCCACCCCGGCGGCGTCTGCCGGTGCCGGCCGCCAGGCCCCGTCGTCTTGGCCCGCGAGATCTTCTGCGGTTGGTGCGCCGCAGCCCCGCCGTCCTCCCCGCGAGCGCACAAGAGGGGGGCGCGCGGCGCTGCGCGCCGGAGGCCCGCGACCCATGGGGCGCGGGCCCGTCGGAGGCCGCAGGGAGGCGGGGACCCCCCTGATGGGCCAGTTCTCCATCACCACCACCACAGCCAGGACGGGGGAGAAGGGAGGATGGGGAGGTCCTCCTCCTCCTCCTCCTCCCCCTCCTCCTGTTCCTCCTCCTCCTGTTCCTCCTCCTCCTCCTCCTCCTGTTCCTCCTCCTCCTCCTCCTCCTCCTCCTCCTCCTCCTCCTCCTCCTCCTCCTCCTCCTCCTCCTCCTCCTCCTCCCTTTCCTACCTATGGTGGTGGTGGTGGTGGAGAATCTGCCCATCACCCTCGGGGCCAGCGCGACGGGGGGGGGAACGAGCCTGGAAGACGACGGTTACGAGATCCGAGGCCGGCTAGACCGGGAGATCCTCGATTGGGTAGAAAGTAAAAAAAAAAGTATCCCGGCAAAGCAACCTAACAGCGATGTGTAGGAGCATATCTGAAGCATTCCCCTTAAGATTCAGATGAGAATCCAGTTGTAGAATTCAGCTGTTCTCGCAGTCGTAGTCGCATTCGCGATGACAGTCGCAGTGGCAACGGCAGTCGCAGTCACAGCCTCAGCCTCAGCCTGCCTCAGCCTCAGCCTCAGCCTGCCTCAGCCTCAGCCTGCCTCAGCCTCAGCCTCAGCCTGCTTCAGCCTCAGCCTCAGTCTGCCTTCAGCCTCGGCCTCAGCCTCAGCCTGCCTCAGCCTCACCCTGCATCAGCCTCAGCCTCAGCCTCAGCCTGCCTCAGCATCATCCTGCCTCAGCCTCAGCCTCAGCCTGCCTCTGCCTCAGCCTCAGCCTGCTTCAGCCTCAGCCTCAGTCTGTCGTCGGCCTCGGCCTCAGCCTCAGCCTGCCTCAGCCTCAGCCTGCATCAGCCTCAGCCTCAGCCTCAGCCTGCCTCAGCATCAGCCTGCCTCAGCCTCAGCCTCAGCCTGCCTCTGCCTCAGCCTCAGCCTGCTTCAGCCTCAGCCTCAGTCTGCCATCAGCCTCGGCCTCAGCCTCAGCCTGCCTCAGCCTCAGCCTGCATCAGCCTCAGCCTCAGCCTCAGCCTGCCTCAGCCTCAGCCTGCCTCAGCATCAGCCTGCCTCAGCCTCAGCCTCAGCCTGCCTCAGCCTCAGCCTCAGCCTCAGCCTCAGCCAGCATCAGCCAAAGCCTCAGTCTGCCTTGAGCCTTGGCCTCAGCCTCAGCCTCAGCC